CTACGGGACAATTTAGCACGGCCAACCCACCCTAACCTGCACATCCCTGGGCACTATGGGACAATTTAGCACTGCCAAGCCACCCTAACCTGCACATCTTTGGACCGTGGGAAGAAACCGGAGCACCCGGAGGAAACTCACGCAGACACGGGGAGAATGTGCAAACTCCATACAGGCAGTCACCCGAGGGTGGGAATGAACCCGGGTTCCTGGCGCCGTGAGGCAGCAGTGCTAACCACTGAGCCACCGCGCCAGCCGAGTTCAGAGATGGTTTATTAGAAAGTACCTAGTATAAGCAGATTACCTGATGAGGAAAAGCAAGACAGGCTCAGCCTGTATCCTCTAGAGTTTAGAACAATCAGAGAAGACTTAATTAAAAGATATAAAATCCTGAGGAGGCTTGATGGGTGGAGGTGGAACGGAGGTTCCCTCTTGTGGAAGAATCTAGACTAAGGAGTCAGAGTTTAAACAGAAGGGACCACCCATTTAAAACAGAGATGAGGAACCATTTATTCTCAAGAGGGTTGAGGATCTTCTTTCCTCAAAAGGCAGAGGATGCTGAATCTTTAAATATTCTTAACGCAGGGATATAGATTGCCAAGGGAATGACAGATTATCGGGTTATGCAGGAACGTAGAGCTGAAGTTAAAATCAGACCAGCTACAGTATCATTGAATGGCAGAGCAGGCTCGAAGGGGCCAAGTGACCTACTTAGCATCTCACGGGAGCAGGATCCCTGCTCCACCTCTATTCGTTGGCGAGAACCAACACATGCTCCTTTTCACATTCGCTCATCAGTGCAACTAATTCCCATCGATCTCATTACCCCATCTGCTGGAATCTTTCAAGTTCAACCCACCTCATACCCTCACTCTGCCATCAAAACCCAGTGTCAGCATCGAACACTCCCAGGACAGGGATAGCATGGGGTTAGATACAGTGTAGAACTCACACTCTCTCTCTCTCTTATACACACACACACACACAAAAACAAAAGTTGCTGGAAAAGCGCAGCAGGTCTGCCAGCATCAGTGCAGAGAAATCAGAGGTAACGTTTCAGATCAAGTGACCCTTCCTCAGAACTGACAACAGTGAGGAAAATGTCAGTGTATATGCAAAAGTTAGGGTGGGCAGAGGGGGATAAGGAGTAAACGATAAATGGGAATACAGCCCACAGAGAGAGAAGAACATTTGGATAGATGAAGGAGTGGATAATGATCAGGCTAAGAGGGTGAATAGATATTAATGGCTAACAATGGGTTGTGTGTGTAAAAGCTGACGTGATCACAAGGCTTAGTCACTGACAGTCTCCATTAATAGCTATTCATCCTCCCAACCAGATCATTATCCACTTCTTTGTCCAACTGTTCTTCTCTTTGGGCTCTATCCCCACCTATCGTTTACTCCTTAACCCCACCCTGTCTTCTGCATATAAACCAACATTTTCCTAGCTACGATAACAAGGTGTAAAGCTGGATGAACACAGCAGGCCAAGCAGCATCAGAGGAGCAGGAAAGCTGACGTTTCGGGTCCGGAGCTACCATTGGTTCACTGGGCCCCGAGACGTTAACTCTGATCTTTTTCATCACAGATGCTGCCAGACCTGCTGAACTTTTCCAGCAATTTCTGTTTTTGTTTCTGATTTACAGCATCCGCAGTATATTTTTTAAGTTTTTACAGCATGGAGCTCCCTCTCTACATTACCCTGATCAGGGAAGGGGAACAGGGATGAGGGGGTGGGTCCTTTCACATGGGCGATTTCAGACATAGCCAAAAACAACTGTTGACACAGGCAGTTGTATTGAATGAAGCATTCTCTTTAATAAATTAAAGCTGATCACATGAGAACAGTCACAGCATGTGCAATGATTTTGGGTACAATCTGACCGTTCTCACCCACGTTATCATAGTCAATGTCGCCACGGAAGACTTGAGGGCGACGTGGGGGTCAAGGAGTGCTGCAGGAGAGAGAGGGTGGCAGGTATTTCAGGGGCATTCCTCCCGCCGTTGGGATCTGCCTGTGTGTGCCAGGGTCCCTTGGCCTGCAGAAGGTTAAAGAGCAGCAGAGGGGGTTTTTGTGGGGTGGGGAGATGGTGAGTGTTGTGAGAGACAGCTACGTTACTGTGGGCTGTGCAGCAAAGGAGAGATGGAAATGCTGGCTGGCAGAAGACAACACGAATGACCTCAGGGTCTGGGGGTGGGCGAGGCTGTTGGTGTAAGGACAGAGGGGAAGTGTGCTATGGAGGTCCCAGTGAAATGCCTTGTCTCTCTCTCTCTCTCCCTCCCTCCCTTCCCTCTGAGTTTAACCCACTGCCCCCCAGCTCAGTCAGCCCCCAGCCAACGGCTCTGGCCCGTTCATCTCTCCTTCTTGCTCTCGACATTCCCGTTCTCCAGAATCCTCTCCTCCTCACCTTCTCCACCTTCCTCTGGGACAGCATTCTCCTTCCCCTTGCTGGCCTTCTTCCCGCGTTGGTACAGCTCATTCAAGTTAAACTCCTGGATCAGGTTCTCCTGCACAATGTAAAACAGGACACAGATATTCCCGGGAGTGACTTACACACTCAAATCAAATTGACAGGTTCATATATACAATAACAGGTACCCTGGGAGGGAGTTACAGACTGGAATCTCATCGAGGGGTTCAGGATGGTTTATATACAGAATAACAGATACCCCGGGAGGGAGTTACAGACTGGAATCTAATCGAGGGGCTCAGGGTGGTTTATATACAGAATAACAGATATCCCGGTGTGAGTTACAGACTGGAATCTAAGCGAGGGGTTCG